TTCTTAATCTTCCAAACTCCAGCGACTAGTCTCTCGCCAATTATCGCAGACACGCTTCGTGTCGCGCGGCTCACTCGCCACCATGTCCTCCCACGACCCTTCGCGCTTCGACGATTCCGAAGATGAGGAAGATTTCAACCCAGCGCCTGCCGATATGTCCGACGAGGAGCAGGATGTCGATGACAAGAAGATAAAGCGCGGGAGCAGTCCTGCGCCTCGCGATGATGACGATGACGAGGATGAGCGACCGTCAAAGTCGCGACACGCCGATGACGATGATGAGGAAGAAGAAGAGGATGAGGATGACAATCCCAAACGTCGCGATGACGACGACGACGAAGAGGATGAAGAAGACGACGAGGACGAGGACGATGTCCAGCAGGTGAGCAGGCTCTGATTCTGCCAAGGCGCGTTGCTGCCTGCCCTTAAAATACTGACCCCTTATAGGGCCATCGCAGAAAGCGCAGAAAGGAACGAGGAGCAGCTTTCTTCGATATCGAAGCCGAAGTCGACGATGAAGACGAAGCCGAAGATGACGAGATGCTGGGTGAAGAGATAGGCGACTTTATCACAAACGATCATCCAGACGATATCGCCGAAACTGGTATCGATGATGACCGACGACATCGTGAGCTCGATCGCCGTCGCGAGATAGATTCCAGCATGGACGCCGAGAAACAGGCAGAGATCTTGCGACAGCGATACGGTAATCGACGTTCTGGCAAGGGCTTCAGAGATGCATCGGTTGTTCCCAAGCGACTGCTCCTCCCTAGCGTGGACGATCCTAGCATTTGGGCCGTGCGATGTAAAGAAGGCAAGGAGCGAGAAGTTGTTTTCTCGATTATGAAGCGCATTGAAGAGAGGGCCGGCACTAAGGATGAACTGGCCATTACTGCCGCGTTCGAACGTGGAGGCACCGACTCTGTCATGAAGGGATTCGTCTACGTTGAAGCCCGCCGTCAAACCGACATTTTGAAGGGATTGGACAGTATGATGAATGTGTATCCTCATTCAAAGATGGTTTTGGTCGACATCAAGGATATGCCTGAACTGTTCCGCGTTTCCAAGACACCAAGTCTGGAGCCTGGAGCCTGGGTTCGTCTTCGAAGGCCCATGAAGCACAATGGCGATCTTGCTCAGGTCATTGATGTTACTGAAAACGGTCTGGAGGCTCGTGTTCGCTTCATTCCCAGATTGGACTATGGTATGCGAGACGATGCCTTCTCTTCAGTTACTTCTGATGGAAAGCGAAAGCGACCTTTCGGTATGGCTGGTCCTAAACCACCGCAGAGGCTCTTTAGCGAGGTTGAGGCACGAAAGCGCCATCCTCGGCATATTCAGGGAAACCCTACTGCCGGTACATGGACCTACATGGGTGACGAGTTCGAGAATGGTTTCCAGGTCAAGGACATCAAGATTCAGCAACTTATTACTACCGACGTCAATCCCTCGCTAGAGGAAGTCACTAGATTCGCTTCAGGCGCTGAGGATGGCACTGAGAATCTTGATTTGAAGGCGTTGGCCCACAGTCTGAAGGACAGCAATGCTCTGGCTACGTACCTACCTGGCGATATTGTCGAGGTCTACACTGGCGAGCAGAAGGGTGTTGTTGGAAAGGCCATGCGAGTTCATTCTGATGTCGTCTCGATCACTGTTACTGAAGGTGATCTTGTTGGTCAGGAAATCGACGTTCCCATCCGATCCCTTCGCAAGCGCTTCAAGATTGGTGACCACGTCAAGGTCATTGGTGGCAGCAAGTTCCGCGACGAAGTCGGAATGGTTGTCAACATCAAGGATGACCAAGTCACTCTTCTGACAGATCAGACCAACTCTGAGGTCACTGTGTTTAGCAAGGATTTGCGCGAAGCTAGTGATATTGGTGGTCAAGGATCACTAGGTCAATACTCTCTTCATGATCTGGTGCAACTTGATCCTACGACTGTGGGGTGTGTGGTCAAGGTTGATCGCGAGTCGCTCGTTGTTCTTGACCAATTTGGAGATACTCGCCAGGTTATGCCATCCCAGATCGCCAACAAGCTTCCAAAGCGAAAGACTGCTGTCGCCGCCGACCGAAGTGGCTCTGAGATTAGACTTGAAGATGTCGTTAAGGAGTACACAGGTCAACAACGACAGGGCAAGATTATTCACATCCATCGCTCGTATGTCTTTTTACACACCAACGATAGCAAGGAGAATGCTGGAGTCTTTGTCACCAAGGCCAGTATGGTCAACACCGTTGCGGCCAAGGGAGGTCGTGTCGCTGCTGCATCCGCTGGACCTGACCTGACGGCGATGAACCCAGCACTCAAGCTTCACAAGAACGGGACAGAAAACAAGCCCGTGCAACAACCCAGATCATTTGGCCGAGATAAGGCAATTGAACAGACTGTTATTATCAGGAAGGGAGCCTACAAAGGTCTTTTGGGTATTGTCAAGGATACAACAGACACCCACGCCCGGGTCGAGCTTCATACGAAGAGCAAGACTATTACGGTGCCCAAGGATAGTCTGAGCTTCAAGAACAAGCTGACTGGAGCTACAATTGATATCGCCAGCCGAGGAGGCCGTGGTGGATATGGTGGTGGTGCTGGGCGGGGAGGTGGTGGTGATCGTGTGCCAGGATGGCAGGGCGGTTCTCGCACACCTATGGCAGGGAGTGGCTCAGACAGAGTGCCTGCTTGGGGATCACGAAGTAAGTTTCTTGGAAATTGGTTGGTTTCAGCATGCTAACAATATGCAGCACCTGCAGCTGCAAGTGGACGCACACCCGCTTGGAAGGCCCCAGATATGTCTGGAGCCCGAACTCCGGCGTGGGCCGATGGTTCGCGAACCGTCAACCCTTACGACGGCAACCGTACTGCTTATGGCTCTGGTGGACGTACACCTGCCTGGCAGGCCGGTGGAAGGACTCCTGCTCCAGGCGATGCTTTCGGTGCTGGCTCACGTACGCCTGCGTATGGCGGTGGCGGCGACAGCTGGGGCTCAGGTTCAAAGACTCCTGCCTGGGGAGTATCTGCGCCAACTCCTGGAGCTAGTGGAAACGATTCATGGGGAGGTTCAGGCGCTTACGACGCACCTACACCCGGCGTTGGTCTTGGTGCCCCGACTCCTGGTGCACTGAGTGCTCCTACACCTGGCGCCTACTCTGCACCAACTCCCGCGGCCATCAGCGCACCTACACCAGGAGCTTCGTGGCAAGGTGGATGGGGAGCAGACTCGGCTCCTACGCCTGCGGCTGGCGCTCCTACGCCTGGTTATTATGGTGCTCCTACACCCGCAGCATATGCTCCTCCAGAGACTCCTGCCGCCACTGGTCCTCGATACACTGATGACGATTGATTGGGAGGGGAGGGTATAGTAAGATCATAAGGCATGGGCAGGCAAGTAAATGGGTTTGCAAAAGGCGTTTTGGAAGATTAAATATTGTATAATCAAAAACTATAGCAGAAGGCTGATTAGCACTGAAGATTTGAAGTGCCAGTAGAACTTTGAGTGAGCTCCAATTGAATTAACCGTTAACGTGAAGAGAATTGGCTAGTTACCAAGCTATTGATCAAACTTCGGTGTTGTGAGGTTGAGTCGAAGCTATGGCTTTATCGATAAGGACTTGGTGATCTTTTCCCACTTGGATTCTCAATGTTGAACTTCGAGCAACTTTACGACTTTGCGACACTTCAACACCTCAACACCCACCAATTGGGCTCAAATCGCACGCTTACTTGTGCGGAAACAATGCCATTGCGAATTGCGCCACGAAAAGTGGCATCAAGCGCCCTTCGTCGAACCTCGTGCCTCAAATGCCCTCTCCTCAGTCATCGAACCTCAAAATGCGCATTCTCAACATCACGACCCTCCAATCGCCGGCAACAGATTCCAAGCCCAGTCGACTCTGCGAAACCCGGCGAAAAGCCCACCAAGACGACCATATCCCTGACAACATCCGAACAGTCTGCCGAAAACGCAAAGAGTATGATCGAAAAGGCTACGAGACTGGCACAAGAACGAGAAGACAAACTACGACAGGCACGATCAGCACGACTAGGGAAGCTTTCTACAAACGCAGAGAAGATGAAAGATATAAGGGATAATCTTACATCTAGCGACAGGAGGGAAAAGGCAAGGCAGGCTGAGGAGAGAACGAATGCGGCCGAGGAGAAGAAGAAGACTGGGTTGACGAAGGAAGAGAGAGAGAAAGCGGAGAAGGAAGATTACAATAGGAGACATAAACAGCTGGAGAGATTCTGGCTCAAGTTCATGGTTGGGATGCCAATTGTCTTGGTTGTTGGTTATGAACTGTTTCAAAGACGTAAGTTGCCCTGCTTGTTGGACAGAGATGCGCTAATATGGGGTAGTTGTTATGGGGAAAGAACAAAAGGTCATGCCATATAAACAGGCCAAGATCAATAAAGAGAGAGAGGAGAGAGAGAGGCTTGCAATGGAGAATGGTAAGAGTGTAGGAACGGAATGAGCAGGAATGAGCAGGAATGTGATGGGGACTTGCGGCTTGATGCTGAAGTCAAAGACAAGCTCTCAGCCGGGGCTGCTGAAAGCTCAACAGTGCTGAGGTGTGTATTATTGTATAATATAACGTGCATGATATGTTGGATGTTGAAAGGAAGACACCAAAAAGCAAGACGCCACGGTTAGAAAGGTAGTGTAGTGACATGGACGTTAATATCCGCCTGTCAGCGGATGCCATGATCAAAGCGCGAATAATGAATATTAACCGATGGTCTTTTGTTTGTCGCTAGCACTACCATAGAAGTGTTGGACTGTTAGGTTCACAGCTGGCTCAGGAGATCGATCAGCGACAAGTAAATGGTTGCCCAAGTCATAGTGTATATATCATATGCCCATCTAAAGTAGACACAAAAAAGTAAAAAGTAATTACATAAAAATGCTAACGTTCAAAGTCGTAGAAGATGAAAAGAATGTTTTTCTCCGACTCTTCCCTCCAAACCTGTGTCTAATCCTTTTCCATCATGTACCAGGTGCAGTGCTTACTTGGACTGCTGGCACTTGAAGCAATCCTGCTCGTAGAACTTGACCCAAGAAGTGCTCTTCTTGTTGATCTTGCCGCTCTTGTACAGCGTACACTTGGCAGCGCTGTTGTAGAACGCAGGCTGGTAGCTGAAGTACTTGCACTCCTTGCCATAGTCGATACAGCTCTTGGCACAGTTCTCAAGGCACGACGCATCGCCCACGACATTGATCTTCTCCTCCTGGCAGATCTCACCGCGTGTTCCGCAGTGCGTGTCCTTGGCGCACTTCTCAAACGCAGGGACGTACTTGGAACACGTAGCGGGTGGTGTAGGCGTGGGGGTGTTGGAGCAGGTGTAGCAGGTATCGAGGTCGTAGAACTTGACGCCCGTGTTGCAGGGTGTGAAGCTGAGCTGGGCCAGGGGTGCGGAGTACAGCTGGCAGTAACCGCCGGTGCTGCGGAACTTGGGGGTGTAGGAGAAGGTCTTGCAGGTGAGGGTTGTGCCGCAGAGCTTGCCGCAGGCGTTGACGTCGGTGACGGATGTGGCCTGGCCGAGCTTCTGGGTGGAGCGGCAGGAGACCTTGCCTTGCTTGCCGCAGGTTGAGGGAGCGTTGGGGAGGGGAATGTAGTTGGTGCACACGGGGGCTTCGGTGGTTGTGGTGGGAGCTTCGGTGGTGGACTGAGCTTCGGTGGTGGTGGTTGTAGGAGCCTCAGTGGTAGAAGCAGCTTCAGTTGTAGTTGTGGGAGCAACGCCGGCCTCGGTGGTGGTGGTTGAAGCAGCGCCAGCTTCAGTTGTAGTGGTTGAAGCCTCACCAGCCTCGGTTGTGGTTGTAGAAGCAACAGCAGCTTCGGTGGTGGTGGTAGATCCCTCACCAGCCTCAGTAGTAGTAGTAGCAGTAGTCTCAACACCCGCATCAGTTGTCGTGGTAGAACCAGCAGCCTCAGTGGTGGTAGTAGCCTGACCACAACCAGCATAGCAGATCTCAAACTCATAGAACTCAGACTCCTCGGCAGAAGCACAGTTGTTGATCTGGAGCTCGCTCACAGTCTGAGTGTAGAAAGTGCAAGTGGATGAAGAAGCCTTGTAAGCGAAGGTCTTGCAGCCAGAGACCTCGCTACACTTGCTAGCACACACATCGGCGCTGCTACCAGTATCGGTGGAGATGTAGGTCTTGTAGGTCTTGCCCTTGACGGCGCAGCTGGTGCTGGGAGGGTTGGGGACGGGAGTGTAGCCGGTGCAGACGGAGTCGGTGGTGGTGGAAGCAGCTTCAGTGGTGGTAGACTCGACGCCAGCTTCTGTGGTAGTGGTGGCAGTGGTATCGACACCAGCGGCTGTTGTGGTGGTGGTATCAGAGCCGGCCTCGGTGGTAGTAGTTCCAGCCTCGGTGGTAGTGGTGTCAACATCAGCAGCAGTAGTGGTAGTATCAGAACCGGCCTCGGTGGTGGTTGTAGATCCAGCACCAGCTTCAGTAGTAGTAGTGCCAGTCTCCGAGCCAGTCTCAGTAGTGGTAGTGTCAACCCCAGCAGCAGTGGTAGTGGTATCAGATCCAGCCTCAGTAGTAGTAGTAGATCCAACAACAGCCTCAGTAGTGGACGATCCCGACTCCACAGTAGTAGTTGTTCCGCTCTCAGTAGTAGTAGTAGCACCACCCTCATCACAAGAATAGCAAGCCTCAAAGTCATGAAGCTCCAAGACAGGAGTTCCAGCAGCATCGACGTTCAAGCTGCTAAGTTGGACCTTGTACAGGTAGCAAGTATTGCTGGCGTCCAGACCGAACGAGAGACACTTATCGTCGACAATGGTGGAACTGCGGTACAGACCGCACTGGCGAGCACAGTCTTCAGTGTTGGAGTTAGGGATGCCAATGAGCTGGGCCATGAAAGCAGCGAAGCCGTTGGGGGCGCCTCGGACGTCACAGCTGGCAGCAGGGGGGTTGGCGACGGGGGTATAGGCTGTGCAGCCGGCGGAGGTTGTGGTCGTGGCAGCTTCAGTGGTAGAAGACTCGACGGCAGCAGTGGTGGTAGTTGTGTCAGAGCCAGCCTCAGTAGTTGTTGTAGATCCAGCAGCTTCAGTGGTAGTACCAGTCTCCGAGCCAGTCTCGGCAGTAGTAGTAGTGTCAACACCAGCAGCAGTGGTGGTGGTGGTAGCAGCACCTTCATCACAAGAGTAACAAGCATCCAAATCATTAAACTCCCAAGCAGGAAGGCCGCTGCGGTTGATGCCCAGGGTGCTAACAGGAACACTGTAGACATAGCAAGTGTTGGACCCGTCTAGGGCGAAGGAGAGACACTTATCGTTGGGCTTGGTAGCATCGTGGTAGTTAGCACATTTAAGGGCACAGTCGTTGACACTGGCAGTGTTGCCGTAGGTTGCGAGTTGACTCATGGAGGCGCCACCACTTGCAGAGCCCCTAACGTTGCAGTTGTTGTAAGGAGGGTTGGCGACTTGTGTGTAGGCTGTGCAGCCGGCGGAGGTTGTAGTTGTGGCAGCGGCTGTTGTTGTGTCTGTGTTGGCTGTGAGGGTCTCGGTAGCTGAGGTCTCAGTGGTAGCGCCAGGAGCAGTTGTGGTCTCGGTTTGGGAGCCAGTGGCTGAGGTCTCAGTGTCGGTTGTGCCTGTAGCATGGGCTGTACCAGAGGTCTCGGTCTCAGAGCCTGTGGCAGTGGTTGTTCCAGTCTCGGAACCAGTAGCTGAAGTCTCTGTCTCTGAGCCGGTAGCAGTTGTAGTTCCAGCTGAAGCAGTACCAGTGGTCTCGGTAGCAGAGCCAGTAGCGGAGGTCTCAGTCTCAGTTTCAGTAGTCTGAGATCCAGTGGCAGTCTCAGTACCAGAGGTAGTTGTGTCCTCACCACATCCGAAGCAAAGGTCGAGGTCATAGAAGTGGCTAGCATCGGAGCCCTCGCTGAACGTATATCCGAGTGAAGAAACGGGGGCATTGTACAGAGTGCAAGAAGAACCCTTGATGGAGAAGGACTTGCAGCCAACGGTCATGCCGCAAGTGTTACCACACTGAGCATAGTCGGTAACAGTGATAGGAGATCCAATGACCTTATCGGCGCAGTTAGGTGCAACACCAGTCTTACCGCAATCGGCGGGGACAATCTCGGTGTAAGGAGTGTAGTGAGAGCAAGCAGCCTCAGTGGTGGTGGTAGCGGCAGTCTCGGTAGTAGCAGTAGAAGAAAGAATGTCGGTTGAGCCAGAAGTAGTCACAACGGGAGCAGTTGAACCACTGGTTGTGACAGGCTTGGGCTTACAAGGGCTGGCGTCGACCACGGCCAGAGCAGCCAAGATGGCTGCAAAGACCTTTGAGGAAGGCATTGTTGGGTAAGGGTATTAAGCTATTGCAGTAGAGGTAACGATTGTAAGTGAGAATAAAAGGTTCTCGTGTAGTGAGCGAGTGGAATGTAGTTGGTAGAGTATCAAGTCAAAAGAGTGACAGGCAAATGCACAGCAACAGCAAGAAAAGAAAGAGAGTGTTGTTACCGCTGAGGAAAACAGTCACAAGAGCGAACGCACGACACCGGATATATAAGAGTCCTTCATCGAATTCTTGGCTTAATTACCGATCTGTCCACCTCCATCGCCACTGGCACGATCTAGCAAGCGAAGTCACTTGGCGCCAAAGATCCAGAGTGCGCCGTACCGTGGTAGCCATCTTCTAAATCTGGACTTGACCCGGGTGAAGCTATCACGATTCGGGGATGGGAGAATCGATAGCTTGCGGTGTCGTGGTGGGGAGGAAGTGGCTAGTCAGGGGTGCAGACCGTTTGGTGGCGCTTTGGTTTACAACGCTACGGGAAATAAAATGAAACATACAGGTAAGGGTTACTGAGGATGGGGTTTTGTCAGGGCAGAGTACGGAGAGTAGTTGGTGGTGGTTGTGGTGATAGGAGGGAGTGTCTCGGTGAGTGGGAGACGTGCCGGTGCCTGAAACGTGAGACTGGATGGCAGGTGAAGTTATCGACATATTAACCAGGTCTCTTATCTCTATGAATGATGAGATAACGCCATTGACGATGAGAGTGTTCTTTGGGGGCATTCTCCAAATCCCATGCCCGTCAACCGTCCTCATAACGCCACCACCATCCACAACACTCAGCGCTTATCACCAACTCACGCCCTCAAAGAAGCCCAACAAAACAATGACGTCTACACAAAATCTTGGCCAATGCCGACAATCCGACGCTCAAGCCCTCACTTGACCATCTCACTTATCGCAGAACGAGACATGACCAGCTGAACTACGGATCTGGCCTAACAAACGCACCCCAGTCAATCACCTTTTTAGCGCCGCAGCAATTTAAACACTTTTTTGCGCTGTGGCGTTGAGAAAGGGGAGGAACTGCGTACGCCTCCTTTTGCTGTCAGCGCAATTCGCATCGGGTCTATTGAGTAACTATCGACGGATGACATGTTTGATAGATCGTGGAGTTTTTGGGAGAAAAGCCTCAGTGGCATTTTTTCTTTTTTCTACTCGGCCGAGATGATGATGTTTCACAGAGGTTCAGTGTGTGTAAGTGAGACCCGCAGAATGTTTCGTCGTTTAATTTGTTTTGTTTGTAGCAAACGCAGGTACCAGATGAAAAAAAGGATGACATGTCTTGGCAGGGGAAACACTCAGACCCTCAATTGAACAAAGACTCACTCTCTCACTCAGTCATCACACGGAGAGTCACAGTTCTCTCGGCGTCGTCGTCGTCCGAGAAAACATGGCTTGACATGGTCTCGTTTCAACTAACGCTTGCTCCACTGACGTCTAGACTAACTCCACTGAGGATGGCCTTCTTTTTTTCGTTCTGGTGATAAAGAACAAAAAAGAAACGTGGTGGGTGGAACACACGAATAGCGGAATAAGGCTAGACATGTTTATGTTTGCGAGCTAGAACGATTTGACCCATAACGCAATCTTACGATGAGCCGATAAGGGCTTGGCAAGCGATTGCGGACCCAAGAATTTGGAACGCTGTGGAAGTGGAGGATGAAGGCATTCGGAGTTTGTGGATACAGAGATGGCAATAGAGTTTTTTCTTCTCTACCACGACCAGTCCGGCCAGTCTGCAATATTCACTGTACATTAGGGTAACATGATGAATCTATGCAATTCGTGTCTAACTTTAGAATCAGATCTCTATCTATCTATCTATTAAAGATGTGCTCTTCTTACCCAATCTCTATCTAGGATGTCTCGGACCTGAATGATCGACAGCATCTTCATCTGCAACGCACATCAACCGTTTCTTCCGATCTCCCTAAGAATACCTTAGCTTCGTGATCGTCGTCCCATCCTCCAAAATACACGTCTCCTCCTGCAATCTCGTGCCCCTCCACCTCGGCACCGCCCTCGTCCAAAGATACCAATACCCTACACCACCCACAAGAATAACCCACGAAAACACCGCATACAGCGCGTAAAACACTTCCCCCTCGTAGTCAGGCGGTCTAAAAAACGGCGCCGCTATTAAAGCGCAGCTCATCGCTATCCTAATACTCACCGCGGGCATCCACGCTTTAAAGGGTCGCTTGAGGTCTGGACGCTGGAAGCGGAGCTTTACGAGGCCGATTGCTACGGCTAGCCCGATAAGCTGCGCGGCGTATCCGTCGATGTCGAGGATGAGGGAGTAGATTGAATCAGACGGTGGAAGGATCATGACGAGAAAGGAGGGGATGTAGTGGATTATGAAGCCGCCCATCGGAGAGTTGAATGGTCGTGAGGAGGAGAGCAGGGATGAGTATGGGAGGAAGCCTTGTCTTGCGATCTCTTGCTTCATCCGTGCCTATTACAGTTAGTTTGATGCTTTATGGAAATGGGATGGACATACCAGTGCGAAAGCGACGACCATGACATTCCCGACTGACGATAATGCCACAGCTGTCGGGAGCACAACTCTCCCAAACTTCTCCCCAAACAACCTCTCAAAGAACAACGCAGCAATGAGTTCACCACTCCCTCTGATCTCTTCAATCGGTACCACCAAGAAGTACGCAATGTTAACAAGCATGTACAATCCACACGCCGTCCCCAGTGCCGTCAGCGCAACAGACCTCAACGTCCTCACGGGCTGCTTGACTTCATTCATAACATTCGCAGCATTATCCAACCCCGCGAACGAATAAAATACCTTGAAAAGACTCGTCGCGATGACGCCCCAGTTCCAGCTCGTCTCTTCCCAAAGATGCTCCCATGCGAGTTGGTGCGTAAGTGGTGCCGTGCTCGTGTCGGGACGGAAGATGACGACGTAGAAGCCTGACAGGATCATAAAGACGATGATTCCGATTTTTATCCAGCCCAGAACATCCTGGATCTTGACGCCTGCTTTGGGAAACACGCTGTGTGTGATGCAAACAAACGTGAGAAGTCCTACAGCAAGACTCTTGCTCAACACATCTGTCGCTTCGACTCCCAGCGCAAATAAAGCATATTTACTAAAAATAATGCAGTTACTCGCTGTGAATCCCAGAAGCACAGCATACATCGCAAACAGCGTAGACGCAAGTAATCGTGGTCGTCGATACGCAAACTCAAGGTATACTTTATCGCCTCCCGACCGAGGAAGCATGCACCCAAACTCGAGCGACACAGCAAGACCGCAAGCTGCGATGAAAGCGCCGACTATCCATAGCGATAGCGATAGTCCTGCGCTTCCGACGGATTGAACGATTGTTCCCGGTGTCGCAAAGATACCGCTGCCGACGACGCGCGAAATAACGAGGATGTAAGCGCTCTGCCACGATAAATTCCTCCCGATGGTCGACGTTTCGGGGAGCACATCGTCTTCTACATCGCGACTTGGTTGTATCTCCCCCGCAGCTTCACTATCGATGGAATCATGGCGCGTAGAGGTCTTATCAGTTGAACCGTAGGAGCTGCGCGATTGCAGCAGCGGCGCGTTGGACGAGTCTGCCATTTTGGATATGTTGCTGGTGAGTTACTCGAGACATGTTGGATTTCTTATGGGATCGGAGCAATGAAGACGTGATTCATATTGATAAGCTGTTTTTCTTGTTTCGGGGCGAGACATCCGCGTGTTTTCTGGCTTGTGATGGGCTGGGCTGTGAGGGCTCGTAAGACGTGATCTGGATGGCGCAATTTGGAGTTTGTCATGGAGGGGCTGATCAGCCACCACGTGCATCGATAACGTGCAAAAAGGTATGAAGATGTAATTGATGAAGTTTATAAATAAGAGATGTCAATTCTCGCGTGATCTTACTGTTTTGTCTTTCCATTGATGAGGCGGAAATGGTGTAGGGTATCCTGTATGAAGTGCAACTGAGCTGGAGATCTAACTGATCTACATCTCGCATGGATATATCACAAAATAAATTCAAAATAATTATAAATATAAGTTTAGGTTCTAAGCTGAGGATTCTATTAATAATATAAGATAAAATGAATTCCCGTTTAACCCTGCCTTAAAACCGGGTTCACCAAGAGTATCAATATCAACGCTTTGCATATAACTCAGTACAAAGACAGAGCTAGGAATACCTGACATAGAAATTCATGATAACCTCTTACATTCTATATATCCACGGGAGGTTCTTATAGTAAAGAAATACCGCAGGGATTACGACGTTATCAAGCAGATGAACTCCTGTTGCTCCATTGCTAATATGACATTTCAAGATCAATGCGGCAACCGGGCGAAGAAAAGTATGCTCACGTAACACGGAACTGAGACCTTGGGTAACTTGTACTCTGTGAGCTGTGGCCATGAAGTTGAAGTAATGCCCTTTGTCGTATTCAATCAAGCATCGAAAGCATCGATTTCACAAGGATGGATGCTACAAACATGAGGCTGAACTCGGACGCCGAGCTCGAGAAATGTCCTATCATAAGCTTGGTAAGCTCATATGGATGAGCCTATCATTATACAGATCTATGCTAGAAACTTGGTTAGCATAAGGAATGATAATGGGTTGACTTGTCGGTCAAGAAGGAAACTTGATATAACGAGGAAAACGATAGAACAGTATATGTGTTCTTATCTGTTATCAGTATTTAGAGGGTACAGTCCGCTTGAGAAAGGTAATGATAATTGCAGCAAGTTTCTTAATTATTTCTGGTAGAGAGTTCTATCAGTAGATGATATAAAGTGAGTTTCAAGACTATCCAAGATGCTTAAGGAAGATTTCTACCAATACCAAATCCAACTTCGAGACAAAACCTATATTTGTATCGGACCGTCGGCTGCCGATAGACTCATTCAACAGCTATTATGAGGTATATCTGAACGGCGCGTGAGGACTCGCATGCAAGTTACTACACCGAATTTAGAATCAACGAGCCACAACCCGATCACTCCTCTATCAAACACGAC